ATAAACGCGTTGGTATAATAAGGGAAACGGCCATGATTCAGAATTGCCCTATATCTGCCCGGCGACTAGCATACGGTACAAGGTGTCATTTACTCTTGAGCAACAGGCGACTGCGAAGTCAGAGGAACATAGGTCTCAGCATATAGACATTTATTATTACTTTTAGGAACATACCAACTCAGCAGCTGAGCCAATCGAGCACCAGGTAGTGGAAGAGGGAGGAGGCGTCAGACGTAACGAGGAAAAAAGGCGATGGTGGCGGTCAGCGAACTACTCTTCGACCTGCTCCACTTTCACCTCCACCGCCTTTCAACATTATTTCTATCTCCTTCCTTCTTCCGCCGTTCTATTCATTATGATTACCTACTAATTCATCCGAATGCACGGTGTTGAAGGATCGGTTAAACACAAGTTGTTCACCGGCCTTGCGATATTCTCGCCGTCACGTGCTCACAACCTTACTTTCTACCGGCTGTAGTATAAAGAAGCAGTATATTGGCACCGGTGTTGGAAACAGGACTCAACCGTCAGTTTGTCGAACCCGTCTCATCTGATGGACCATTTCTCAGCTTCATCGCTATTGCTCGTTTTCTTAGGCTAAATCATCCATTGCTGATCCTTTCTATCCATTACATATTCAGTGTGCATGGACTTGATTCAACTCATTCCGTTTCCAGTGGAGGAAAGATCATTTAGTGGTACTGTAATCAATACAGAGAACATATATGATGATCATTAATAAATGTATTACCACTTCTGGACTAAAACGAATGAGATATCTCGATGTTTACGAGGACTAAACACCAAGGTGCACAAACGGAATCCATGCCGTCAATGGGACGTCCCTCTTCTTACGAAGTTTTTGAATCGAAAAATGAAGCGCCTCCGCTGCCTCTTTGCAATTAGGTTCCTGAACGTCTCTAGTTAAATGTGCGTAGAACTCGTCTGCCACTTCGGGTGCGAGATCATCTTGGATTGACCACATTGTAGCGACAACGCCACGATACCCGGCAAGCAGCATTCCACCCGCAATGTGAACCGCCTCCTCCGACAGCTTTTCATCACCTTTTGTGGTCTGGCATGCCGACAGAAATGCGAACTCTGCATTGGGAAGGTTGAGATGGATGATTTCTTCAAGAGTGAGATGGCCGTCTTCAAGTATAAGTGCGCTCTTTGTCGGCTCTTCTAGGTTTTGGACACCATGACACGCCAGATGCAGCCAGTTACACTCTTCCATCCCTTTCATTACCCGTGGCTTCGTCCCTTGCTCGCCTTCAAGCACGACATGTGTTCGTTCACTAAAGCGACGGCGGATACACTCCAACTCTTCCTTTGTATTGGGAATAGCGGATACACCAGGAGCGGAAGGCTGGATTACCGATAATAGTTTGAAAGTCGGCCTCGCAGGAGAACACGGGGACTGAAGTAAGGCAGATATCGAAGGAATGTATGATGATATGGCATAATTGGAGAGCTGATCGCTAGTAGTTTCTGTGTCGTATATACCGG